AAGTGAGCAGGGTTTGGCCAGATCAGGGAATCAAAATTATTTATTGATCCCGCAAAAGCAAGGGGACATTAAAGGGGCCTGGACACAGTTGCATTGTTTACAATTTTAAATGTGTATTTTTATTCAAAAAATAACTTCAGTTTAATGTTTGAACTTGCATGAATATTCTAAGAATTCAATGACAATGACATTCTTCATAACATCACGCCAAACATCTGTGTTTGTAAACAGGGCATGAGCTCTGTTATTGTTAGTGTTAATGTTATACCGGGCGTATTCAATTTGTTTATATAGTCTGCACAAATCACTGAGCACGGACTGACAATGCTGTAAGTTGGTTTTGCTTTCTCGCATTTCTACTCTGAACTTTCTGAATTATAGTTTTCATATTTTTTATTAATACGCAACGAAATTTCTACTTGGATAAAGTTTACCGGTACTTTGTGAAAGTGCAAGGATATGAGTCAATCAAACGCGTCCCGAAAATCGTAGTTTTAATAATTTCCAGATAAAAGAATTTTCTTTATACGCTTTTAATATATTTCGGTGTGAGATGCTCTAACAACATATAAGTCATGATATTATTTAGAAAATTTTAGAAAATATGAGCTTCAAATCCGTTCCCATCCCCTTTAATTCTCATTTGTCTGTCAGTCTGTCTGTCACAAAAACTTTAACCTTCGTCATAACTTAAGAATAAAAAATGATATGGCTTTCGTATTTCACATGTAATAACCTATGACAGGACTTTTACCCTGGACACAATTTTTGAATGAGAAGAGATATGCCTTTCATATTACACTTCTACATTACTGTGACAAGCCTTTCAAAATATCCTATGATTTTTTACCCTAACCTTGAAGTTTGACCTACTTTTTAAAAAATAAACATTTAACTTTTTTAGTGAAAGGAGAAAGGCATTCATAGTTGACATGTGCATTACTTGTGACAAGGCGTATCCGAATCTGCTTTCATTTTTGACTCCTTGACCTTTGGTCTAATTTTTAAAAAAATTAATATTGATGATAACCTTTGAATGAGAGAAAAAATTTCTATTTAATATGTGCATTACCTGTTTTAAGACCTTTCTAAACGGACTCTTGACACTTAACCTACAGTCTTTTTCATTATTTTTACATTGGTAATAACTTTTAAATGAGAGAAGATGGAGCTATCATATATTACATGTTTAATACCTATGACAATACTTTTAAGACAGATATATCATTTTTGACTTCATCACCTTGACCTAGAAGTTTGACATACTTATCAAAAAATGTAACTTTGGTCACAACTTTTGCTCCAGAAGAGACATCTGGGTTTTTCATATCTTTTCACATGTGCATTACTTGTGAAAAGACCTTTCCAATTGTATTATGAAATTGACCTCATGACTTAATTACCTTGAAGTTTGCAGTTTTGAGAAGCTTTAATCTTTGCCATAATTTTTATCAATTCAATAATTTATCTTTTTTTGGTATGACAGACAGGACAGGACACACAAACAAGACAGTTACAATATGCCATGAACCACTAAGACACCGAAAACGGGGAATTTTTGGTTGTTGTTTGGCCTTTGCATGTTACTTTACACAACCATTTATGCCAATAAATATATGTATTTTCATAGTATAAAATCTACCCGTATAGATATTAAAACATAAACTTTTGGCTTATTTAATTAAAAAATATAAAATACGGCAAGTCCATTATCGACATAAACCCCAACTTAATTTCTGGATCAATTTTGGCTCAGCTGAACAAGAAAGTCTTACCGAAATTTGTCCGTCATCATTGTTGGTTTAATCAACTTTTCGTTTTTTTCCCCAGAACTACTGGACAAATTTCAACCAAACTTGGCACAGTGTTTCTTCTGTAACATTCGGGTTAAATGCAAACGTTCCGAATTATGCGGGTTTGGTGGGTTTTTTTTCCCGTCATTGTGAACTCTGGGGTGAAGGAAGGGCTAATCGGGGATCACGGTTTACACATCAAAATTAATAAGTCCTTTAAAAAACTCAATAGAACGTCTGGCAAGGCCATGTTAGTTTGCATGTGAATTCAAGTTCGGCTAAAGCATAACTTTTTTGAGCTGTATTTTGGGCCACAGTACTGTTTTAGTGGGAATAAAGAGGAAAAGAATCTTACAACAAGAGGCCCATGGATCTTACCGGTCACTGAATATCATATTTGTCTGGACTCAAGTGACTATGCCAAAAAAAATGCAGTTTGGTGAAAATTCTACAATAAAAATTGGCCTGAAAACCGTCTTCTTTACTCATGGACCTATGGCAAGCAAATTGTTTGCACAATTTTAATGAACAGCTAGTTTTCCATAAAAAAAATTTATGTCCCCTAGGGCCAGGGATCCGGCTCCAGTTTTGGAGCTAGGTTTAAGTATTTTCTTTATTTCTGAACTTCTAGGAGACAAACTGAATGAATATGAAAGTTCTCATCAAACCGTTTTTTAAAAAAGATTCTGTAACATTTGCTTGTAATGAAAACCCATCCCTCCCCCAAACCTATCAAGATTTTAAAATCTATGTTCCCTACATTAGATTGAATGAATGTGATAATTTCTAAGATGATAAAATGGTTTCTTGATGGCTAAATTGGTCATACAGCCATGGGTCAGCAAGGCCAAAGAGTTAATTATAATCAAGCACACATTGTATCTCCCAGAGGAAAATATATGAATATACCAAAGTTGTAATGTTTTTCAACATTTGACCAACTTTGCCCATCCTTGGGCCTGAATCCCGAGTCTTAATTAAAAATTTTGGTAAGAAAAATACTTTAAAATATTTAAGTTAACATGCAATCAGTTTAAAAATCTTCTTTACCCATGAACATGTTCAGGTTATGTTCAGGGATGGGGTAATGGTAATTGACAGTAATTAATTACAAATTTTGATGTAATTGAAAGTAATGTGTAATTGGCCCAATTTTCAATTACATGTATTTGTAATTTAATTAATTACTTTTGAGAAAAGCATGTAATTCACAATTACTTTTCAATTACACTGATGTTTAATAAATGAGAAATAGCCCCTCCCCTTTTTTTCAAATCCCAAACACTCTATTCAAGAAAGGTCAACTAATTTTTAGGACAAAATGTTCTATAATATATTTTAAAAAATTATATATTTTCTTTATTTAGTGAATTGGTGTTTCATCTTTAAAATGCATTTTCTTCAAAACTTTTTAATATTATTTATCTCCTTGTTCATAAATATATTAAGTAAAAGTAATAATTTCAATTAAGTTGTTTATGAATTAACACTTCAAATATCTAGTCCAATGGCTTCTAATCCTTTGTTTGCAATGCGTACAGCTTGTGTAAAAAGTGATTAACAGGTGCTAATTAGTGCCCTAGGGTTATGTACATATTGACACTTAACTTAAATAGAGATTTTACACACATTTTGACCTTACCTATTGGTAGTTTTATACACATACATTGACTATGTGTTCTCACAAATTTTTTTTAAAATATATAATTTGGTGTTATAACACCATGGCAATTTTTCTATTTTAATAACAGTATAGTTTAACACACAATATGTCAATACTATAACATTTTGAGATATATAGCTTAGGATGATGAAAAAAAGCAGGAAACAAGGCAAAACGCATCCATTGTTTTGCAAAAATATATATGAAAGCTTAAAAACGGACACATGAATTAATGGAAAACAACATCCAGGTCCTTTAAAAGGACTGTGTCCAAGTTGAAAATTGGCTCTTTTTTTTTCCCAAAAGTTAGGTAACAATTCCCAACTGATGACCAAATTCAATTTTTTGATGCTATTTATATATAGAAATAACGTGTTTTGAAATTTTAATCATTTTTTAAAGATATATATCATGTGTATATGGGGAACAAGTCCACTACATGTATTTAACTCTTTAATCAACAACATTTTCCAATTTTTCCACCTTTCCGATTAGCCACCTTTTCGATTAAAAATTCACAATTAGAAGGGTACAGGACCCTGTACCAAAAAGGGTCAATTAAGCCCTGAAACTTGCTATATAAGTCAGTGTTTATTTATTCCTGTCACAAATGCCCCAGTGTAAAATATCTTCATTGTGGCAGAAAAATCTTTAAACCTGATAGATGTAGGTTAGGGAACACAATATTTTAAAAATTTCATTAACTGAAACTATATGAATATAAATGAACGTTCATGACTATTTATCATTGTTTATTTTTATATGATTTTTCTTAATGTAATTTGTAATTTAATTAATTACATTTGCAGAGTAATTGTAATTTAATTAATTACATTTCAAAATCCTTGTAATGGTAATTTAATTGAAGGTTTTGGGCAAGTAATTTAATTAATTACTTTCCTAAGTAATTGACCCCATCCCTGGTTATGTTCATGTATCAGGTTATTAAACCGATGTATATAAATACATATAGCCTCCGAAGACAATTTTAAGCTTACACTTTTCTCCTCAGATATACTAGTAATCAATTGTTAAAACACTGCCATTATTTGAACCAAAAAAGGAATATACTGTGAGCAAAGAAAATTTAAATGTGGAAACATAAAAATTTACCAATGACACATACACATCAGTTTCCCATGCTAAACTTCTTTCATCCTTGTTTTTTGAGGAATTTTATATACTAGTACATAATTAACCAACCAAAGTTTCCACTCACAAGGAAGACCAGGAAATTTGCAAACATTCAACCCTTGATATAACCATGTTTACAGTAATACATGTACAGTTATACTTCAGTATTTGGAACACTGATATCTTACATACCATGGATATGTCGAAGTGATTTGAAGTCCCAACCACTTTTTCTTTAAGTATTTTACCCTCCATCTCTAAAATCCTCAGATATCTTGAAGTTTTTTCTTGGTCTCATCAAGTTTGAGATAACAAGGTTTGACTGTACTTCAAAAGTTTCTCTTGAATAGTCAAACATACTACATGTCCTTTAGTTCATGTTTAAAAAAAAAAGAAGAAAAAAAAACATGTACCATTTTTGAAACGTCTTTAATAATTTTGCAACAAACACAATTGTTATATCAATATGAACTGAATGTCTCAATGGTCCTTCTGTTGCATCAGAATTGGAAACTTGTCGAAGTCTGTCTTTCATTCCCACTGTTATCACACTGTGTCCAATAATAAAACTAAACCCTAAACTTTTTTCACATCATGCTAACTTTGAAAATAATGATTTTGCCACCTGTACAAAAGAGAAAAAATAAAAAATATACATTATTTTTAAATTGTCATAAACATTACAAAAAGCTACATCTCTTTGCATTTTAAACATTTTCATCTCAACATCAAATTATCTTAAATCTAGTCATACAATTCTTATTCTGCCTCTGAATATATTTTCATTTTATTTCATTTTGAAAAAAAAATCTCATTTCAAGCTCTTTGGGTTGCAGAAAGCAGGAATCAATCAATACATGTAGTGTTTAGTAAAAACAAATATTGGATATTATATCCATTTTATCTCTATGTCACCTAGGATATATTTACAAGTAAATTTACAAATGGGATTAAGGGAATTAATAATTATAAGGCTACATAAATTTAATTCACTGGTTCTCAGGCCAGTTTTCTCCAAAACAGATGTGGGAGGAAGGCATTTTTTTTTTTATCATTTTATTGGCGATAAAGTAGATAAATACCCAAATTTTCTATAAAATAATGATAAAAATTCTTTGTTCATAGATATACTTTCCAAGTCTGATCAATAGGTTTGCATTATCCATTGCTTATCAATGTGTGAACATCGTAGGTATTATCTTCGAATGTATTTTTAAGCAAAGTAGCCAGGTCTCCTTCAAAATGGCTACCAGAAGCAATATTTGAGTACTAAACTAGAAAGTGAGGTGGGAACTTTCTTTTTTCGGATTGGTCTTCACATTACCAACTTTTTATTTTATCAAAAATACGATAAAATTTGGAATGCAGCTAGCTCATAACAGATGTGTGCGGGCCTGAGAACCGTAATTTCAATTTTATGTAGCCTAATTTGACACCTTTATAATGTGTTTGATTTCAGTTGTGAAATTTACATTTTTGTAACTTTGGTATTAAACAAGATAAATAAATTTTCCCCTTCATTTTTGACTGATGCAAATTACCATGACTGCAATGTGCGTATCTTTAATTCATTTTATAAACACTTCCCTGATTATAATACTTACACAGTGGTCTACACAATTTACATAATCTATCAATTCTTCTTCACAAGTCTCCTCCTCGATGGCAGGTTTTACAGCTACCCTTTCATTACATTTATCCAGTATCTCCTTGAATTCTGCACATTTGGGTTTCGCAGAGCATTCCTCTCGTAATACCGTCTGAGGATCCTATCAAAAGAATATTTATGTTGTCAACAGTTTTTAAGACATTAGCATCCTAAAAATTTGTTTAAACAATGATGGAATTGATGGCATACAAACATAATACATATAATTCTAGATTTAAAGTCATGGTCTAAGTATAAGATTATCACTAAATTTCTAACTAGACCAATGCTTCCCCTTTGTTCCTTTATATTTTGGGCAAGACATGAAGAATACTGAAAAACAGGGAACACTTTATAATTAAACTGCTTAACAAAATCCAATATATTTCACCATCTTCATTCATTTATTAGATCGGAGGGAATTCTAGCTATATTCAAGCTGCTCTTTTTTGCTATTTTTGTCTCTTCTTTATTTTTCACGACTATTTTACACAATATTTCATTTTGCTTGATAACATGTTACTGGTACATATTTTAATGTAAAAACAAAATAAAAATAAACACAACTTCAGAGAGGGTCATCTATAAATTTTACTATGCTTTTCTTTAATTTCCTGCATTTAGATTTTTTAAAGCTTTCATTTTGAAACACTACCAGACAAAATATATTTTGATATACACCCTGGGTGTGCAGGGAATAGCTGATAATAGGTAGTCTGCATGATTTAGGAAATTCTTAGGTAAATGTATTGGTATATTACATTGCATATCTGTTTGTACTGTGTTTTTCTGGGACATCATTCATTATGTGCACTTCTTGTCAAATATACTAGTAGTTTACTGTTAGAATGTCAACATTTACAATTCTGAATTTTAAATTTAGAATCTTATACACAAAGAAATAGTATGAGAAGCTCATGAGCCTTATACCAACTTGAAACAGAAATGTTTCTGGTTAAGAACAATTTTACATCATACATGATGCAAAATTATCAAAATCATTATTATCAAATTAATGCAAAAATATCTGCTCAGTATCTCAATGTTTTGCTTTTGTGTGTCAGCAAGGCCAATCTTTCAATAATTTTTTTTCAATCGCTGGGAACTAAAGTGATGCAATAAATCAGGGATATATGGAAATATTTTTTTTTATCTTACTACTAATTCCTCTTCTTCTTCTTCCTCTGACTCTTCCTATATTATAAAAAAGAGAGAATAAAGCAAAATAATTAATGTATTAAAAATAAAATGCACACTCCCCCCTCCCTCTAATATTGTTTAATATTGATACATATGTAATATCTCCATGTTCATAATGTCACATTATGTTAATTCATTATTGATCTATTTCTAACCCAAATACAGTTAAGTTTATAAAAGACAACATAATGATCATTGTCAATCTTTGTTCCAACTGGGTAAATACAAATAATTTATTATTTGCCAAAGAGAACTTAAGCTTTCCCCATTTGTTTTGTTTCCAATGCAAAGAACTTGGTGTCCAGATGAAGCTGATTTACAACAACAATTTATTCTTATCTATGACTCAGTAGTGACTTGACTTATACAATTGTAACACTCTTGAAATCAAAGAATCCAAATTTCAGCATTACAATGGGTATTTAAATTCACATCATTACAAAACATGAAGATTGACAAGTAATCAAATAATACAAGTTCCTAAGATAAAAAAAAGTCATGTCAGTGACAATGGTCCAATAAATTCTTTTGGTGCAAAATTGATAAAACTTAGGGGGAGCTTTAAACAATATTTGGGGACAGTTTCATAACAACTTTTTTTCTGTAAAATTATATCAGGGGATATTTTGACTAAATCTAAGGGGTGCTATGACCATAATTAAGGGAGAGCTCTGAGACTGCGACAACTATATTAGGGGGCGCATTCAGTGGTATTCAATAGGACTGGGACGATATATTGAGATATTAATAATATCGATTCTCTGTGAGGACAATACGCATATCGATATGAATGGAGAAATATTGTAGTATCACCAAATAAATTCTGTCTTATGTATTTATTTCTTTACTTAACATTTTGGGTTTAATATGTAAAATAAATATGCTAAATATAAATATTTAATACTGATATGAAATAAATAATAATTAACACCACTTGTATAAAATAATTTTGTTTTACAACAGATATACAACTTCTTTGAATAAATTATTCTTATTTGTGAAGAAATGTTTTGTTCATTTCAATGCAAAAAAAGATTTTATAACCAATTCAACATATTGTGATACATATTGTATTGTGGCTCAAATATCATGATATGTATCAATATAGAAAAAGTTGTATTGTCCCAGCCCTTAAGTATTCAATTCTAGAGGTTATGGGTGCCACTGCCAACAAGTCAAAAGTATATCACCTAGAATATCTAGCATGCTGGAATATTATCTGCCATTTCACTAGTTTTGTTTCAACTGTCACCAACTATCAGGGATGGGGTAATTGAAAAAAGTAATTGTAACTGAGTTTAATTAATTACATTTTTCAAAGTAATTGGAAGTAATTTGTAATTGACCACTTTCTCAATTACTTGTAATTGAATATAATTAATTACATTGAAAAAAAATTACCTTGTAATTTCAATTACTTTTCAAATACATTTCATTTACTACAGTTAGTAATAGAATATGTCAATTTTGTAATGATCACTGTATCGAAGAACTTTTTGCTTGAATGTCCTGCATATGATCCTTTAAGAAGAAAATATATCAAACCATATTATTTCAGATCTCCATATGTACAAGCTTACTCAGCTACTCAGCTCTCATGATGTTGGTGTTTTAGTTGGATAAGGGAAATTCATTCTTCATGCAATGATATTAAGAAATGATGAATAATTCAATTTATATGTATATTATGTATAGATATTTTTTTCATGTATTAATGGAGAGTTTATAATGCTTACTGTAATTGTTGGTGTTGAGGAGTCAGACAGATGGACATTAGGGGTTTCACCCCTCGTAGACTCTCGCCATGCGCTCATAATTATGTTCATTTTGTGTATGCTGATGGGCCGTATGGCTTAAAGTTGTTTAATAAAGAATTATTATTACTTTACATAATATATATTATGTGTATTCAGTAGGAAAATATTTCCAACACAGTCACACTTTACAGTTATTTTAATTTATTCAATGAAGCCCTTCTCTTTTTCAAAATCTTATAAACTTCTTTCATATCTCAATAAATGAATTTGACATATTGGCTTGTTTATAAAAATATTAGTTTGTTTCCTAATGCACATAAAGAATTAATACTAGTTTAATGTTTTATCATAAATTTTGTTCTACTTCTCATTGGTATAGACATGAAAACATTTCAATTTTTAGTTGCTCGATTATCAAAAAAGAAAAGAAATCAATTTAATATGTCATTAAGACTTGCCTTGTTGCCCTTCAACTCCCAGCTGTGAATTGCTACCAAAACAACCCTCCAAAGTTTTATATAATTTTATACCATGCTTTGTTTAAATTCAATGATATGACCATTAGAGATGATTTATTAAATACTACATGTATTAAGAATGCTCTACTATTTATGTACTTCATAAAAGAAATAAAAATATTGAATTGCTATTTTAACATTTAAACAGATCTTTATATACATTTATGCATTTGGTATCTGAAATATTTATTACAGAAAACAAGTATTATTTGTCAACATTTGCAATTTAAGGTGTTTAGCTTGTCTACCTGTAGCTAATTTGAGAGTATTTTATGGTTGATTCAAAAACTCTTGAAAACTCACTTTTAATCAAATTTCATAAAGGCAGTCAAGTGATAAATGTACATGTAGGACTAGGTCTTGTGTTGATGAAACACACAAACATCACAGGCACCTGACATTATTTATTTTAAATATTCCCCCTACCATAAATTTACATGTATTTGTTCTTCGAGATTTTTGAAAGTGAAACAAAAGTAATTGAGATGTATTTAATTACATTCTTCAAAGTAATTGAGAGTAATTAATTACATTTGTAAAAATCAATGTAATTACAATTGCAAGTAATTGACAAAATTTTCAATGTATTTGAAAGTATTTAGTTACATTTCAAAGTAATTGACCCCAACCCTGCCAACTATCAAAAAATGGTTAGGTTATAGCTGAAGGTAGCGTGAGCAACAACCAGTGCCAGTGAACCAGTAGAAAATTTTAACATTTATAGTCATTAAATATTCTGAAAATATTCTTTTTATTTAACAAGTTTATCTTTCAACATTATTTAAAGACATTACTCTACTTTTTGTGGAAATGGCAGAAAACATTCTAACTAATCTTGTTTCAAAGTTGGTCTAGCTGATCATATATAGAAATTTTGTAGGATATCTGAATATTACATGGTGAGTAGGGATGGGTATTGCCCCAAATTTCGTATCGTGATATATATATATCAATTTTTTCCCCAAAATATCATGTTAACATCGTGATATTTTTACACAGAATTTTTACTACAATTTCAAATGAATTTCTATAATTTTTCTTACAAATACGCTGTAAAAACATAACTTCACTTTTTTCATTTTTATTTATATAGTATAAAACATGTTTGGATGCCAAAGTTTATTTTTTTTCAACATTTTTTAGACTTCCTGTAACTCTTTATTTAACAGTTTGAAGAAATAAATGAATCAGGAATTTATAATTATGTACCAAATACAGGTATTTTAGTCTCTGTATCATGATACATATCAGGCAAAAAAAAAAAATCACTATATACCGGTATACCGATAAAATCGTCCATCCCTAATGGTTACCTTTATTTAAAGTAATTTTTTCATGAAAGTCCAAACTATCAGTTTTAATATCATGATTATCGACTGTATGGTACCAATTTAATTTCATAATGGATAGTAATTTTGGTCCAATTTTGTAACACCAATGTTCACATTCAGGACATAGTATACATGTAGACTGGAATCATCAATATCTGCCCTAGGGGTGAAACGATAAGCCTCCTTCATGATACGTATATCTAGATTTTGTCCTGGTAGTTAATTATTTTCAATACCATACATTTTGATAGAAGGAAACAAATTGTTTTATGTTTTGTTTCAATAAATCCAGTCACTTAATCTACGTGCCAAATGACTAGAAGAGATTGATTAGAATGAATTGACTGTTCAAGATTATTTAACAAACTATCAGTCCTTAAAAATTTACATTTTTTAAATTTAATTATTCTGAGTAGTGTTTTTACCTTTGCCAAACGGATTGAAAAATAAACTGAACTGAAAATTGAGGTCTTGCACCATGTACCAAATGGCCCCTCCGGGTCCATAGTGCATTATCATTTTAATAACAAAAAGGATATTTTAGAATGATGTAAAATTTCATATTAGTGTATTACTATTCTCTATTGAGAAGTTAATGGCTCGTTTTAATACTCCTCCTCAACTTCTCTACGAAAGGCCCAATAAAAGCAGTTCAGAAATTGACTAAATGGAACCAAACCAGACCCCACTTTGATCGATGTTTTCGGTCTGATGCAATATCATACATGTAGTCTGGATGCACAGATGTTATTCTGCCATAGAAATGCGAATAAAATACCAATTCTGCTGACTTAAAACATGTTTTAATGATAGAACACTTACTTGCGATATCTGTGTCACCAGATTCGTTTATTCATTCAAAACTGCGTTTGAACCCGGGTTGACCTCTAAACAAGACTAAAACTATATTCCTCTGGATAACTATTTAACACTGAAATATTTAATCCAATTTATACGGAGAAAAAGTTTTAAACTTTTTTAGAAGTCAAGCGGGTTCAAACAAAGTTTTGAATGAATATATGAATCCGGTGACACAGATATCGCAAGTAAGTGTTCTACCGTGATAAATGTTTTTAAGTCAGTAGAATGGGTATTTTTAATCACATTTCCATTGCAAAACAACATCTGTGCATCCAAAATATGTCTATGAATGATAATGCATAAATTCTAAAACATCAATCAAAGTGGGACCCGGTTTGGTTCTTCATTTGGTCAATTTCTGAACCGCATTTATTAGGCCTTTGGAGAAGTTGAGAGGGAGTATTAAAATGAGCCATCAACTTCTCAATAGAGAATAATGCATTACTACTTTTCAGGGGCGTAGCTTCCATTGTGGCAATGAGGCAACCACCTCACTAGATTTTTAACCACCAACACTCCCTCCCATAGTTAATAATAATACATTCAGTGTTTTTTTTCAGTACTTTGGGACTGGGGGCTGGGGCCCTCAGAATTGGGAATTTCAGCGTCAATTAGGCTATATTGGGAATCTCCCAGAAAACCCAGTCACTTAAAAAGCATTGTCAAAAAGCTTTGTTTTTGTCTTTGTGTTACTTTAACAAACAATTGTTTTAATAAATCAAGACTATTCTTGGTATGAATTATCTAATTACTTGCATCAAGAACAATAGTGGTATGAATTATCTAATTATGAAGAAATCCAACATGGCTGAACAACAAAACCTGCTTGAACTTCACTGAAAAACATGCAATAAACAAACTGAATTTGATCAAATATTTTGTAAGTTTTTCTTTGGGAAAACTTCCAGTACATTTTGGGAAAATACAGGCATATTTTCAATTGGGACTGGGGCCGAATTTCGGCCCCAAATCGGCCCTAAAAAAATCACTGACATTGCAGAAAATATCTTGTAAAAATTACAATTTAAGCAATTCTGTAATGTATATTCATACCATCAAGGTTTGGGCTCTACCTCCATTACTGAGAACTCCAAGTACGCAATGATTAGAAAAAAAATTAAAAACTGATAAATGTTTGACAATTATAGTTTTGACGAAATAAATTTAAAAAAAAAAAAAAACGTGTATTCATCTTAAAATGTGTTAGTTTTAGTAAACATATACTTATTAACTCTTTTACCATCGTCGGAAACCTGTGGTGGTCTAGCTTCTCTTACCTCGTGGGTTTCTGACGATGCTCTTTTAAATACTTTAATAATATGAGGTATCATATCCACGCTATAAAACCGGTTATATTAACTAAACTTCTGTGCAGGAGAAGTCTGATAAAACACCCAAATCCATATTCTGTATGGAGGGGTGTGTGGTGCTCCCCTACCCCCCCCCCCCCAGCACCACCACCACCACCATGGCGCTGCCCTGAACCTACTTGGGGCCGCCTTTCCCCATAGCCCCTGCCCCTATGGTTTTGCCTCACTAGAATTTTAAGTCAAGCTACGCCCCTGCTTTTGAAGAATTGAGAATTCCTTAATTTCACCCTAAAAAAGTCTAAATGTAGCTTTCTTTTGAACCTTTCCATATTTACAGGGCCCTCTCTCAGAAATTTTTACGGAAAACAAAGACTTGGATTGCCTCTTTTTAATGTATATATTAAAACGTTTGCATTTTCCTTTCATAACACGGTTTATGATTTAATACTTTGTACAGTGTACACCACTCCACTAAAAAAATTATTAAATAGTTGTTGTACCCATATTTTTTCTTAAATCATTGAAAATAAAAAAAATATCAATGTGTTCTTGGTTAACAAATTTGTTGTCCATTCAATGAAGAAGTTGAAGGACGTTTTGACATTGGGAAAGAGAGCTTACATGGTCTGCAGTATTTGGTCTTCAATAAGAGTTTGCAAGTTCATTCATTACATTACACTGCAATAAAATATGTTGTATTATTCTAACAAGTACCCAATTTTATACTTAATCGTCACCTGTTCTTCTGGTTCACCGGCGACAACAACCTCGTCTCCTAACGCCATCTTGAAACGTTCAAAAGGTTATGGTAAAATATATTTAGAATGTCGAACTCGACTACTTGTAAAATCAAAGTATTGAAAGTACTGATAGGCTGTGACGTGTACAGTAAGTGTAGTACATTTGAACAAAATTAAAATCACAGGCGCTCCCCATGTAAGTTTGTAGATGACGAAATGATAGTCTCGTCTTTGATAGGACAGGTATTTACAGTGTGACCTCATGCATACGTCTGTTGTATCCCGTGTGCAATTTATCATTTAAGTACAAATGTACTTATAATTTGTTTTAAAAAAATCCATTGGTTCATTAATCAACTTTCTGCAATAAAAAAGGCGAACGGACCCTGTGCGAACAAGTTTTAGGGCGATCGGACTCTGGGCGAACGGGAAATAGGGCGTCAAGGGCGAACAAATTTTAGGGCAAACGAACATACAACCGCAACTACCTGCCATGTTGGCTTTCGCCTGGGACCTATTACCGACTTACTTTAACACTGTGTAGAAACGGACTAGGGTAAAGTGCGTTACCCTAGTCCAAGATGGCGACAGGCAAATACGCTTCGATTATTTTGCACTCAGTTTACACATTATACAGGCTTACATTATGTAATGGATGGTTTTAGTTTAATTATTTTAAATAGAAATACGTAGCTATTGCAAAAAATTTGCGTGATATGTGCTGCATGGTTATTGCCAAATTACGGGTAGAAAATTTGATCAAGATTAGGGTAACGCAAATTTGCGACTAGGGTAAAGATTTTCTGACCTATTTGAGTGATTAGGGTAAAGCATGTGAAAAATGTCATTTTACCTGTTTCAGGGTTTAAAAGACTCAAAACACGTTTTGCCAGTAAATTCATAATTCATTGCACCAAAAACTTTGTAATTGAAAATTCTTAGTGCGCTGACAATTTCTGGAAGAGCACAGTGATCTGATTTTGTTCAAATCAGTTTAGGTTTCTGTTTATAAAACAAATTGAGTCTTGAAAACAGTGTTCTGTTGATTTAGATATGGCGAAAAACTTTTCAAATATCTACATATCAATTAAAGTATCATCAATGACATGTGAAAATAACGAACAGAAATCATACTCAAAATCCAATTTAAACAATACAAATCATGAGCAGAGCAAACATGGGCCTCTGAAAAGTGAAAACAGAGGTGGGATAAGGTGCCATGGAGAAATTAACATACTCTGTTCACCGGTAAAACCTGCCGTGTACTCTTTGTCATGATCAGGTAAATGAAAAAATGACCTAACAATTCATATGAAAAAAGTAGGAAAACATTCGACTTAACGATAGATTGTGTTAATTTTACAAACAAGGTCATTGTATCAAACAGGGAATTTGCGAAATGTTGATTTTAAATGAGATGGTTGATATCTTGTATCATCAACTTATGTGTATACTCTCTCTCTCTCTCTCTCTCTCTCTCTCTCTCTTACCTTTTTGTATTTAGATTTGCATATTATATAGAAAGTTATTTTACTAGCACTTTTACGCCTTATCCTAGACTGAAAAAAACGGGCAAAATAAACTTTGCTGTTCCTGTTGAGAAAACTTTGGTAAAGCATTTGTCAAGAGTAAGATAAATGCAGATTAAACTAAGCTTAGATTCAGAAAACTTGTGCAAGTTTTTTTCATAAAAATTGCACCTAAGTACTTAAAACATTCTTAACTCAGAAAAAAAAAACATTTGGTATTCAAGCATTCAATAAATTATTCTTAGAAAATCAGAACACTTAAGTTCAATCTTTCAGCAACGCATAGAAAGTCTTTCCGAACAAAACGTGCGCTCTTTTGTGATGGAGGTGTTTAGTTAGACTACTATATTACATCATATTTGTCAAAATCATTTTGTAAATATAGATAGGGCTATGTCCTCATCATTGCACATTTGCCAATACATCTATATGTTTCGTTTTGTTTACAGATTTACGAGATTTATCAATGTTTGATATCTTCACAATTTACATAATTATACTTCAAAAGAACATCCGACACTTGTTCCCATGTTTGCGATCTAGTGTAAAAAAAGTCTATTGCTGTGACCTCTAGTTTAACAATTAGATATATTGATGACGTTTTGGCAATAAACATTAAAAGTTTGATTTGTTATGTCCCATTAAACTCAATAAAAGACACCTAATATTCTGTCAAATTACATGTTTGGATGTTTTACTCCAAAAAGATTGTAAACTAAAACCAAAACTTTAAATGTTTATGATAAACGTGATGACTCCAACTCTTCTTTCATCAACTTCCCTTATTTATGTAGCAATATATCATTTTTCCCCTGCATATGGGGTTTATTTCGTCAGTGGATTCGATGAGCAAAAGCATGGTTTCATACGAACAATATCTAAAACGAGGCAGACTGCTGACGATTAAGTTGATGACACAATGGTATCAACAATTTCGCTTAAAAGCTAACATTTCGCAAATTATGTGACCAATGCAATGATCTTGCTAGCAAATATATTACATATGTTTTAGCTCGAATGTTTACTGATGTCTTTCATATGAATTGTTAGTTCATTATTTTCTTACTGAATTGTGAACACATTTTCCGTTTATCCGATTACAAAGAAGGATACATGGCGGAGGTGACCAATAAAAAGATGATGCCTACTCCCCATGACACCTGATCTCCCCTCTGATGTTTTCCGAGGTCCTTGTTTGTTCAGCTCACAATTTGCATTATTTAATTGGACTTTGAGCATGAATACTGTTTGTTATTTTCGCATTTCAGTTGATAAAGTTTATTTCAATTACCAGTAATGTGGATTTAACTTGGTTGGGATTAAAGGATGCAAAGTAGATTTAGATTCATACAGGAAACAATACTTAAAGTTAAATCAAATAAATTAATTACATCATGTATACATGTATATTCATTTAACAATAAAATAATACATGTACATGAAACAAAAAAAAATAACATTCATAATAAGAGTAATATTTTGTATGAAAATTATGGTTATTAAAAAATAAGCAACCGGTATAATATCTTTGTGGAAGCAACAGTTCTTGAACACGTTCAAGAAAGCCTTTTCCAACTATATTAATTGTTTGTTTGTTCATTGTTGTTTAACGTCCCTCTCGAGAATTTTTCACTCATATGTAGACGCCACCACTTGCCGGTGGAGAGCTGCAAATTTTGACCTATACTCGGCACTCAGGGCCATTAGGAAGTGAGGGATCTTTTTCGTGCCAGCACCTACTGCGACACTGGACGCCGGTTTATACGGTCTCATCCGAAGGACCGGTCTCCACGTCCCACAGTGGGATCCGAACCCGCTACGTAAGGATTAACTCCTTACTCTGCGATTCTAGAGCAAACGCTCTAACCACTGCGCCACGCGGGCGACCTATATTAATTGTAAAAAGCAGTTTAAAAAATCAAAATCGTGCACTATCAGGTTATAGAATAAATAACTTTACCCTAGTCTCGAAAAAACTTTACCCTAATCGTAAATAAATAGCTCAGAAACTTTACCCTAATCTGCAGCAAAACTTTGACACACATTTTCTTTTTAATTACGCTAAAGTTGAATACAATCTCCATGCAAGCATGTAAAACTGAAGCTGCCCGACAGATTGGTGCAAAATAAAGTAAAACTTTAAGCTAGAAATCACCAATATTTGTACGAGAAAATTTAAAGCGTTTTTGCATATCGCCATCTTCGACTAGGGTAACGCATTTTACCCTAGTCCGTTTCTACACAGTGTTTAAGTGTTTCTTGTGTCAGTGGGGCTGTTCATCAGCATCCGGTACTGTGATTTATTGAAATAAAATAATTGCAAGGGGCAATCCAGCAGCATTCCGCCGTGTTATCGCATTTATTGACATTTTTCTGACATCCAACTGATCTCAGCCGGAAGTAGTCAATTTTCGACAATTCGTTCTAGGATTACTTTTGATATTTGGTTGCCAACTTACATCGACAATCGATTCCGTAATATTAATTATTTTCTTGGGTCATTTTGGCTAACCTAATACAGAATAAGAACTTACCTTGATGACAAATTGACTGATTTAATACTATAAACCCTTATACTTGTATTATTCCTACCCCCTACCCCCCCCCCCCCCCCCGAATTTGCATTCCAACCTCAGAGATACATTTTTAAAATCAACTATCAACTACCAAATTCCTTGCATCTTCAATAGCCAAGGGTTTACGGTCCACTCCGCTCCCCATAAACGGAGTATACCGAAAACCCTTGGCTAGCGAAGATGAATTCCTTGACAAGCAAAAAAAAGGGGGGGTCATCAGACGTTAACATTAAGGGTGGAACAAGCATATAGTAGCTAAATTTCTATTATATTCTATATATCGGCAAAATTATCGGGGGGGGGGGGGGCTCCCCTCGGTTCCTACGGCCATGTATTTGGTAGGCTAATTTTAAGCTATTAGTGAATAGAATTATTTAGTACGAGCTTTTGATAATGATGATTTTTATCACAATTATATTAGGTGCAGTACCCCTAATATTCACCATGTGTGTGTGGAACAAATTTAAAAAAGTTGCAAACGTTTTGTAGAAATTTACAAGCATAACCGGTATTAAGGGGGGGGGGGTGGAAGATTTTCGCGATAAATATGTCCTCAACTGTCAAGAAAATGAATACCCTCTTCACGAAATAGACTTTTAAAGTTTGGCAGTTTTCCCTCTTTTTTTTTTTACTTTAATATTATTTATTTATTCGTCTAACTTTATTTCTGGTGAAGAAGAAAGATCATGTTAGAAATAAAAATCAGTCTTTCACTAGCTTGAAAATAAATAATGTAACTCTAAAAAGAAAATCGCCACCCACCCCTTAGTCCCTTGTCATATACATGTACTTGGAGATATTATTAAAAAGATGAGTTCAACATTTGGATTTAAAAACCAAGTCAGAATAGTGCACGATCATTTTATCACAGACTACCACTAAAAACAAGTGACACCATTTCTTAATTATTTATTTATTAAGCTTGGCATCATATGGCCACGGCTGGTTGCAAATCAATTATTTAAGATACATGTGTTCA